AGATCTCCCGCCCCTTTTAGAGACACAAGAGGATATAACTAAAGAGTTTGGGGTGGACTACAAGACTTTGGCCATCGCCTGAACTAGATTAAGTGTTCTTTCACATGCGAGGCTGACATATAACAAAGTTCAGAGAAGCATGCCTTGTCATCTCATGTAATAAAGTTAGAAGAGGAGTTTTCTGCGACTGAAGTAAATGGTACCCACCCTCTATCAGGAGCTTTTAATTCTTCAAGAGAGATCTGAGGTCTCTCAGGATTAGGCTGAGTTTGATAGGTTTGGTAAGTATAGAGCTGGGGGCGAGTTCTTGCTTGGAAGGCCGCTTCAACAGAGTCATGTCTCAACTGAGGTTGTCTCAGTCTCTTGTGTAGCTACTTTTTCCTCCAACATGAGCTGGGGAGAGGGCTTATTATAATAAATTTCTTTCATTTAAAATATCAAGTTTTATCAGGTTCTTTATTTTTTACGTTGCTTTCTTTCGTTGGTTAATCTTTCAAACTTTTAATGGTCATTTGTTCCTTCTACCTTTCTCCCAACGACTGGGGTTCTTCTGATCCTATAAAAGGGGCTTCGATGGCACAAATGCACTTTCTTTATCATTTTTATCTATAGTTCTCTCTCCAACTGACACATGGCTCCCCATTGCAACTCTTCGATGTAGTTTGTGATAACCACCCTCTCTAACTCATCAAAGATGAACAATTATGAGTCTAGAGAATATTCGAAGATCAATGTCTTCGATTCTTTTGTTCGCCTTTGGTTTTTCTTCAATGAGGAGAGGATGAATGTTGGTGGGGATTTGTTTTGTTTGAAGAACCACTGTAGATCTCACAAGAGTACAATCTAAATGATTAAATGTGGTGTTTGAAGAATAACTTACTATCTCAAAAGATAGAGACATTATCTTTAGAATGGATTCAATCCTTTGGATGAGAAAAATATTTAGGGTCTATGGAACCAAAATTCTTCCATTACTTTATTAGTGTAGTAAGATAAGGTTTATATTAATTATGGGGTATCATTCCTACAAGGGCAATCCCTCATAGTTAATTACATCTTTAGAGCAGTGAGCCCTAAGGAAAACCTCTCGATTATACAATAAGTCAAGTTGCAAGAAATTTGAATTTCATGATTGGAGGATCCAAATTGTAAGAAATAATTTCAAAGTTTGGGACTTACAATCTAATGAAAACAAGTCAGAGAAAAGGTCCAAGGCATAATATTTGATTTTTAAGTGCATCAACAAAAGAAATTGATGGTAAAGTTGATCTCAACAAAAGAGGTCAAAAGATAAATGATGGATATAGGATTTGCTTGACAAGTATAATTGAAAAACTTTAGACTAATGATAGAGTTGGGTAGGAAAGGATTTTTAGATGGACATTGAGACCCTAAATTCTATAAAAAATTCTATAGGTAGACTAAACTAAATTTTGGGAATAACATCCCCGGTCAAGATGCTCATGTCTTTCGATCATTCCGGGAATGTTGGTATCCATCGACTATGACTAGTCTCAAAATTAGGAATTCCCCTTAGATATTGAAGTGTGGAGGATTTTTGTTTCAAAGCAGTCTAAATACCTTCATTAGTAATCATGTGTCACTTCATTCTAAGGTATTTCTTCTTGTCTCATGGGATATGCTAGTTGTTTTTCCTATCATTGTCCTTAGCGCTAACTAGGTACTTGAACTAACCAAGGCTTCTATGCTCAGACTAACCTAGGGTAACTGTGTTGCCCTCGGTTTGGTGCTTAAGTTAGCTAGCCTAAATTTCATGTCGGATCTGCTTAGGTTCAGTTCTCTTTCTTTAAATTGATGTGTTTTAGATGTTCATTTAAAGTTCAGTACTTGTATTAATGTTTTTGTTCGATACCCAGATTTTGCCAGCCATACTGAGAAAATAGAGGTTTTCTACTTTTTGAATTTTGTTCTTATTTGAATTTTGATGTTTGCGGAGAAAACTAAAAAATTCTCGTCCTTGTTTTTGTAATATATATTTTTATGTTGTTTCTATTTTTAAACAGAAAATAACATGTGGAACTGGAGATAATATATAAAACATGAGTATATATATATATATATACTAAATATTGTATTTGGACAGATACATATTAATTGGTTGATGCTGGATATCCCTTACAAAGAGGGTATGTGAAGCCATTTCCGGATGCCAAATATCATATTCCTGACTTTAAAAGATCCAGTAATGTTGCTCGGGATAGAAAATTTTTTTTAACAAGAGACACTTCTCCTTAAGCGCTATAATTGAAAGAAAAATTGGAGTGTGGAATAGAAAATGGGTTATACTGCGTGATATGTCGTCGTATCCATTTTCAAAGTAGAAAGCAGATTGCAGTGGCTACAATGACTCTCTAAAACTATATTCGACGATATCATTCTCAAATTGATGTAGACTTCAACATGGCTGATGATGATCATTTACACGTCCTGTCAGAAGCAATTAAAATCTCATGGAACATTCTACACGACAGTTAGAAGTAGATTCACAAGAAGGTTGCAACTAGGATGATTAAGGTACCAGAGAAATGATTGAATTGAGCGAGTTACATATGTTATTGTTGAATATTGAATGAACCGATTCTTGTTTATTTCATACAGTTCATGTTTAGTTCTATTCCTTGTATATTTGATATTAATTGTTTCGATTTTTTACGCTGTTTGTATTTTTTTCTTTATCTATTTCTTTTTTGTTTCTTTTGATGGGATTGTGAGATTTATGATGAGCGTTTAACTTTATGGGTTCTTCTAGATGACCTGTTATTACTGTTGGTTGGTGTCACATGTGAAATCCTAATGAAGAAAACCAAGTTCCTTTCTTCTTTTCGATGCTGCAATTTTTTGAGGTTTTGTTGATGACATTTATTTGGTGATATGCATATGTGACACACATGAACTTGGTATTATGTGGGTTAAAGACAACCAAAAACCCGTTTTTTATAAGATCGGATGTCTTCTTATGGTGACAAATTCGTTGGTTGATATACTGAGTTATCTGAGACCCCCCGTCTACACAAAACTGTAATTAATTACTTCTTTTATCAATTTCTACTTGTTTAGTTTTTATAATTCATGTTTATTTCCGTTTCTTGTATATTTGATATCAATTATTTGAATTTTTTACAATGTTTGTAAGTGTTTTTTTTCTTATTTCATTTCTTTCGTTTTTCTTTTGGTGGATTGGAGAGGTTTATGATGAGACATTTGACCTTATGAATTCTTTTGGATGACCTGATTGTCGATATTGGTTAGTGTCACTTGTGAAAACCTATTGAAGGCAATCAAGTTCCTCTTTTTTTTTATGATGATATGGTTTCTAAGGTTCTTCTGGATGATTTTTTTTTTGTGGTATGCATGTGTGACACACACAAACACTATATTACGTGGGTTAAAGACATTCATGAGCCCTTTTTGACAGGTTCTATTATCTTGTTGTAGTGATAGATTCATTGGTTGATATACTAGTCTTCTGAGATCTCACGTCTACTTAATTATTTTTGAAGAAAATTTTTACTTTTCTTATGACTAATGAATTGTCTTTTAAAGCTTTGAGAAATGATAAGCTCGAGGATTTCTGGTACCTTTAGAGGATTATTGTGCCACTATGGGCTTCAGAGTTCTCTGCTGACGTCACGACAAACGCATAACTACGAGAGGCAGTTCTACAGATGCCCGCAGAGAATTACGGAGAAGTGTAACTTCTTTTGGTGGACAAATAGACTGACATATTCCATCATCAAGAGTGACCAGGAATTGATTGTTTCCTTGGACGATGGCCTGGCTCGTGACATACGACGTCTTCATTTTAAAAAAAATATTAACATATTATTAAATATTATTTTAATAAATTTTTTTTTTAGTAATGATGACATTTACTGTTAAGTGAGGTGTATATCTTATTTTTTTCACTGTTTTGAAGTACATTTTTGCTTCTAAAGTATCAAATGTATTATTATGATAGTTATGTTGCAAACAACATTAATACATAAAAACAAAATTGTCATTTGTCAAAAACAACTGTGCTACAGTTATTTTCAAATAGTAATAAACAAACAATTAACCAACTTTTCCATAACAGCTTCCGTGCAACATCTTTCTAAGACAGCTGCTACGCAACAACTTTCCAGCAGTTTATTAATAAGCTGCATACGTCCCGAACAACCCTTACCCTCCTTTCATTAACAACTTAAAGCCAATAAAAAATGATGTAATTGAGTCCTAAAAAAGTAATTTATTTTTAATCCAAAAACTGATTTTAAAAGAGCAAGAAAAGTTGAAAACTTAAAACTTTAATAAAATTTTACAGAAAAAATCACCTAGTAGTTCATTTAAAGTATGATCCAAACTAACTCCACGCAATTTATTAAGCATATACCACTACCCTAAAACAAAATATTTTTCGTAAGAAAATATACATACGACAAAAATAAACATTTACATTATTTTTTTAATCATTATTACTACTTAATATGACTTTAATATAAACTTTCTTTTATTTTCGCTTCATAAAAAAAATCATCCTCATCTAAAAATGTTACCACGGTGGCCCACCGCACGTACACTCTTCTATTTCCCATTAAATTACATGAAAAAAAAATTACACACATAACTCCTAATTCTCATGCATTTAACTATCTCACACGTGAGAAAAATTTGCGTATGTAATAGGTGCGTAGGGCTGCGTGTATATTTGAAGGTTGTAGAGAGGTTACAGAAAGATTATATAGAAATTACATCTGTACAAATATAACCTCTGTATACTTTCTATAACCTCCCTATAACCCCAAAATGTATGCAGCTCTACGTACTTGTTACGTACTCAAATTTTTCTCCTCACATACAAACTTTCATTTTTACAAATTAAATATTTTTTTAGGTTTGAAAATATATATGAGAAGATGAATTATATATATTTTTAATTTACTTTAGCTATAAAAATTAAAGTTTAGATGTCAAATAAATAAATGCATAACAATTGGGTGCTATTTACGTAAATCTTAAAAAAAAAAACGGTTACACGTGCGGTCACCCGCGTGATACTGAATCCCACAGCTCGCCGCACCGCCGCCGTGCAAACCCGATTCTTCCCATCTCCAAATCATACACCACTTCCATCCCCTGCTGCTGTAAATTCCCCAGCGTTCCGGCCGGCTCGCCTCCATTCTCCTCCTCTTCCTCCTCCGCTTCATCTCCACTACTGATCACCATCAAGCATCCCACATGCTGCCCCTCGCTCTCAAACCCCAAAAAGTAGTTCCTCGTCGGCAGCCACACAGTTGCGTTTCCGGCGAAGTGGAATCCCATGGCCGGCACTCCTCTGCTCTCATTCGTCCCATTTCCATACTCATAGCACGGCCCAAGCCCCGTTCGCTCCTCTGCTTCGTGGGCTCGAATGTACCCGCGCCTCCCCATCTGCCGCCTAAACTCCGCTGCTAACCGGCGGTGCATCTCGCCGGGAAGC